ACCAGAAACAGCACCTTGAGTTTTCCAGAAACATAGCAAACAGCTTTAATCACGTCTATGGCACAGTGTTTCCAGCCCCAGAGTCACTTATATGTGTGTCCTTCATACGATGGTTTCATTGCATGCGGTAGAGAATATTGACTAACTTCAATTTCACCTATTAGCACCTGCAAAACGAGTCATGTCTCTCAAAGAGCCAACATTGAAGATGTCGAAATCTCATGTAGACGAACGGTCGAGAATCCTGCTCACTGATTCACCTGGCCAGATCCACAAAAAGCTTAAAGCGGCGCTTACTGACTCTGAAACAACAATAACTTACGATCCTCTTCGCAGGCCGGGCGTCTCTAATCTTCTGGAGCTTCTTAGCCACTTCGAGGGACGGTCGTGCGAAGAGTTAGTTCTGGAGTTCCAGTCAACCAGTCTGCGAGCACTTAAGGAGAACCTCGCCCATAAAATATCCAATCACCTGCAGCCTGTAAGAGAAAAATATTTCTCGCTGATGGAGGATAAGACTGGCTACCTTGAGGACATATCAGAGAAAGGTGCTCGAGCCGCTCGAGCCAACGCTGAGCTGACTATGACACGAGTCAGAGAAGCTATGGGCTTGTGAGGGTATATTCTGGTGCGACGTTCCGTTACGCCTTACCATTACGCCCTCGCTGTTTGCGCGCTTGTTTCTCCAATCTCTAGCCCTCCCCCATTTCTCCAGATGTACATATGATTCCCGGTGAACTAGCCGTGCTGGCATGATTGTTGGCAATGTGATTACCATGCGGTAATAATTCATATCATATTCTAATACATGCTAGGAGCTGCCCAAGGAACAACCGACGAACTTTGCCAAACAGATGTTGTAAGGCTTATATGACTTGACACACTGTGTTCAAGCAATGATTGGTGGAGGCTCTTTTAGGCTTCGGGATTTCAGTTTTTCGGTTAGCGCTGGGCCAGAACGCATGTTTCATCGCTGCTGCCTATGCCAGCATGCTACAAAGTACATCACTACAATACGAAAAGACAGCAAGGCAGAAGTCTCATTGAGTGCACACAGGCTAATGAGACTCCCCATACCACGTGCATGTTCAGGGCGCACAGTAGATCCCACATGCTCCACTTCAAATGACGACAAATTATATCCCTTGCTACTTCGTTGTATACGTAAACATGTGGGCTATCCGATATTGTTCGGTACTGCGGGTGAACGGCATAGCCAATATCTACAGCAATATGCGCAGACTGGTTGTATAATGTGGCGTTCATCCCACCAACGACATTAAATCCATAGCCATGATACGAGGACGTTTTTCATACGGATCTCAGCTTCGAAAACGCTTCTTCTATAACAACCACTAGGTGCATAAGTTGACTATTATCTTAAGAACCTGTAGACCTAAATGCAGATTTCAAACATGCATTCACTAGTGATCTGCCCACATACACAGTACATGCAGTTTATACGGGTGCTCCAAGGCCGCCATACCAGTTCCAGAAATGAAAGGACACTAGGTAGCTAGATTTCAACTCTATGAGTAGTCATCTACTCTGTAACTTCATTATGGACTCGCACGTGATATATTGGTTACAGCCTTTATCAGTCGATTGTGGCTGTGGAAAAAGTAATCTGATCATGGCGGTGTACACCGCACCTGCCACACACACTTCAGTGTTCTCCAAACCGTCTGCCCAGTTACTCAGTTTACGGCTGAACATTACATAAACAATTTGCGCGACCGAAGAGTGAGACTGTTCAAGGTTCTCCTTTGCCGCCCGAGCTAGCCGAATCACTGCCGGAATTGGCTTGCAAACCAAATCCGTCCGGGTGTGCCGTTTTCGCCCAAATGGCAGTTCCATTGAAACTTCCGTGTCCATACTTCTAACAATAGTATGCCAAGACCCAACACAATAAAGAAGCAACTGTGGCGTAGAATAGGGAGTCTCTTAGCTTACACTATTTGGGCATGACACTTGGTAGAAGTTTAGGCTAGGTAGCTTGTACAAAGCACTATCTTGGACCAATGATGGGATCCTGTACTCCGTGTACAATACTACATTGTATTTTAATTGAATCACCCTGTATGCTTATGCGTCTCTCTAGAAGAGATCCGGAATTAGTATCTTCTTGGACCCACAGGTGATGACGACAGCAGAATAATACTGTCCTGTCCGAGAGCTCAGCCTAGAATAAGTGGGGCATGGAGATCTGGGCCCGAGTCAATCAGCCGACTAGTCCCGGACCAACAACTGAAACCCAGTGTGCCTACTGCCTACTACGTATTATGTTCCAATATAATAGCAATATGCCCCCTCTCCTCAAGCATGTGTGGAGGTCAGAAACAGAAACTATCCGTTTTCTCATTACTAGATTTTCTCTATTGCAATATAATATCGTCACAGTCCGCTTCAACCTCCTATCCTATCCCTCTAACCAACGAACGCCGGAATAATCACCCTGTACCAGCTCATTTCCAGCACCATTAGTGAGCCCACACTGGAAATTCATTGCACAAAATAAAACTCGCAACTTTGCGGCACCTGAGCGATTTTGAGCCCGGAGAAGAACGGATAGAAGGGTGGGGGACACAATGTGGAGAGTTCTGTCTCTCTTGGTTGCTGTGTCTTTTGTTCCACTCGAGACAGTAGAGGCCTTGATACTTCAGCGAAGAGAAGTGCCCGCTGTTGTGACCCTAGATATCAAACGCAACGATGTGTCAGATCCTGTCATGAGGGACCGCGCAAGACGCAAGCGAGATACAACCACTGTTTCTCAGGCCCTGGATAATGAGGTATGCGAAGGATCCTGGATTTGTACCAGTGCGTGTTGGCTTACATGTCAATGAAAGGAAACGCTCTATTTCTGTAATATAACCCTTGGAACGCCAAAACAGAGCCTACGACTGGTTTTGGACACTGGGAGCAGTGACCTTTGGTGCAACGCAGCGAATTCTACGCTTTGCTCCTCGTCGACAGATCCGTGCAGTACATCCGGCACTTACGATTCTGACAAGTCTACAACGTACACATATGTCTCGTCTGACTTCAATATATCTTATGCGGATGGAACCGGTGCGGCTGGTGTTTACGCAACCGATACTCTCCATATAGGTGGTTCGACGTTGGAGGACTTCCAATTTGGTATCGGGTATACGTCAAGTTCCTCCGGTACGTGGAATTCCCAGTTACAGAAATCCCATGCGCCAACAGGCGCTCGTTTTAGTGTATCATCAACTGACTCCTATCTATAGAGGGTGTTTTGGGCATCGGCTATACTTCGAATGAGGTCCAAGTCGGCCGCTTCGGTGATAGCGCCTATCCTAACCTTCCCAGGGCAATGGTGAAAAATGGTTTGATAAAGTCTAATGCCTACAGCCTATGGTTGAACGATCTAGATGCCAATACGGGTTCCATTCTTTTTGGAGGCGTGAATACGAAGAAATATCACGGTGAACTACAAACCCTTCCAATTCAGAAGGTTAATGGCATCTATTCCGAATTCATAATCGCTCTTACTGGAGTCGGCTTCACTTCGGGATCAAGCAGTCGCAATTACTCGTCAGATGCGCTTCCGGCTGCCGTTTTGCTTGATTCTGGTAGTTCCCTTACATATCTTCCAGATTCCATCGTCGAAGACATCTATAATGATTTTAGTGTTGTGTACGAACAATCTTCTGGTGTTGGCTATGTGCCTTGCAGTCTGGCACAAAACAACACTAATATCACCTACACTTTCTCATCGCCTACTATTGCTGTTGGGGTAGACGAGCTTGTTCTCGACGTGGGTGATCTCTTATTTCAGGACGGAGAACGCGCTTGTGTCTTTGGAATCGTCCCCGCTGGTGATAGTACCGCTGTCTTGGGGGACACCTTTTTACGCAGTGCGTACGTTGTCTACGACCTAGCGAACAATGAGATTTCCCTCGCCAACACTAACTTTGATGCGACGGGAAACGACATCTTGGAAATTGGAACAGGAGAAGACTCTGTGCCCGGTGCTACTAAAGTCGCTAATCCTGTCACGACGGTGGCAGTTGATGGCTCTGGTGCAAGGATTGGTGGCCCGACTGGTGCAACTTTCACTAGCATTCCATCCGCAACGAGTGGAGGCCATGCTACAGCAGGGCTGATGGGTGCTACAAAACTTATAGCTTTTGCTGCTGCTGTGATTGGGTACATGCTGACTTTCTAACCTTCCTTGATGCACATTCACTTGGAGGTGACTTACTGGACATTTCCTCTTTGTATGCTGGCTTGCCCTTCTGTACATGCGCCAGTGGCCTTGCCTACTCGGTATGCTTTAAACTCGCGATACCCATGGCTTTTGATTTCAGACGCTTATTTACTGTGTTCCTGGTGGGACACTATCATATTGTGAAACATATTGTACGGTCTCGGAAAAATCCGAATATATATTATGATTATGAGTGCGGATCGCGAATTCGATGATTAGGACAGAATATATTTTGGCGATACCGTTGTTTTATGAGACTTACTGGTCCCTGTGGTAGGAGTAGAGACAAATCAACGTCTTCTTTTACGCCGGGGGGAGGCGCAGGTCTGTGAGTTCCCCGTTCGTGTAGCAAATGGTATCAATAGGCTGCGGGAGTCTCCACATGAGGCCTGATAGATTTAACACAGTATACTCTAACACAATTTATACAGCTCCCATGTGATTAGTATGTTCATGTCCAACAAGTCCTTTATGACCTGTCCAATGTCACCACCTAGGGCATCCATACGAATAATGGCAGCGGTCAACATGGATAACCGGTTTAATCTTCCATCAACGGATGGTATAATAACCTTTTATTGTATCAAAAAATCGCACCCAGGCTGCCCTACATCATGATAGGGTATTTGCTCTGAATCCCCATTAGCCCACTTACTGCACAGTGCTTGTTCCCTTCTTATCGATAGAAGAGTATACAAGTGAGTCCTTGGTCATACAATTGACTTGGCTGCACTTTAGTCCCCACATTGTATCATGCTGAGCCAATGTGCTTTCACTTCGAATCAGAGGTAGGTTGACCACAGGTCGTAGTATTCCCCAATCCAAGTCTCTGTACTATAACCATACATGGCTCAGAAACGTCGTGAGCGCTCTTGTTCAAAGTCCCATCATTAGCTGGCCAAATACTGATGCACAAATCATCCACTTGTAGATATTGTGCTGCCAAGGCACGGCACAAAGCTGCCACACGCTCGCCCTGTGAATGGTCACCACATTCGAGCATTACAAGTCTTACCTTCCTCTTGAAGGAAAATGACAAAATATGATAGTAAAAGATATCCTCCTGCCGGTGCAGCGGTATTTTCAGAGCGTCACCGAGCACTGGAGGGACCAATGCAATCCTCGGCTCGTACATCCGAACACTTCGTGCAGTGGTCCCATTTCCATATGATTTCTCAGATATATACGGTGGGTTTGATATGATCACATCGAGATGGCACGCTGTACGCAGCGTTGATTCGGGAGTATCGCCCAGAGCTTGCTCCTCATTCGATGCATCAACAGGTACACCGCAGAGGACATTGCCTTTTCTGAAAGTAATATCCGCCATCGCTCGATCCAACAATTTTCCTTGTCGGATATTATATTTCAAATTCCTTCTCGCCAGTTTAATTGCTGTAGTACTAATATCGATCCCGACGATGGACAAGTGCTGTACATGTGGCGCGACAAGAGCATGCAAAAGGAGGGATATGCATCCTGTTCCCGTGCAAAGGTCTATCACACGTACAGATATAGCATGAGGGTTGATCAGAGATTGACTGGCATTGACGACATTGCGCGAAATCAGGTTGGCAGCGTGGAAGGTGAATGTCTCAGTTTCGGGCCTAGAAAGATAATTGCCCACTTAGCACATTCTATACAGGAATGGTCGATCTTGTACAAAATACCTAGGTATCAGGACTTCTTTCCTACACAGGATGTCCAAGTCCCCAAAGGGCTGGTCACCAAGTATGTACTGGAGAGGTTGGCCTCGAGACCGTGCCCGGCACATTGATCTCAGAGTACTTCGCCATCCCTGGTGAAGTTTGGGTTTGGTGGTCTCAATTCTTAAAGGGTTTGACTGGGCTTGAGAAACAGCCCGATTCCTCATCCAGCCCAATTCACTTTTGGCCAGATCAAGGGAGCGACATTCCTGTAGAAGCAATGGAAGAAGATGATCCTGTCGATGTGCATCCAAAATTGTTCTACTGGGTATTCGTGGCATAGCTCCCTTTGGTCCAAATTGGTGTGATGCTTCTCGCATACCATCGGGGAGACTGTGAAGGTCGGGTACCTTACTGTTAGATGTGGGGCAGCTGTCAGGAACCAACTCTGAATACTCTGGATTCAAACTACTCAGCTATCTGATAAAATACGAGTATTATGAGCTTATCAGCTCAGGACAGATATGATTCATCCTTAGATTGATTTAAGGTTTTCTATGTGATTATACCAGTCTGCCTTGGCTACTATCAGAATTTAATCTAATATACTTCAGATAGTAAAAAGACTAGAACTTTTTATCAGTAAATTGGTATAAGAGTCAATCAAATCTATATTGATTGGCATATATAAACTGGATTACAAAACATAAGAAGATAAAGAATGATATATAAGAAATTATTTATAAATAATAAAAATAAGTAAATAAAGCAAAATAAAGATAATAAATAGATTTTATACTCTATAATCTGGCTATTTATCTCCAAATACCGCTTGCTATTGTATTTTTATTTATTAGACTAAACTAGTCTCAGTTAGCAGAATATTATTATCTATAATATTCAGTATATAATTATGAGTCTCAGGCCCTCAACCGCAATGAGTTACTGTAATAATCATGTAAAGGAACTAAAATAAATAAATTTACTATATATAATTCTTAAGTCTATGTCAAGGAGCTGGCTGGCTGGCTGGCTTGGTCGCAGGTCAGGTGAGGTAGTAGGACTAGCAGTTCTAGCTAGAGGCTACTTAATATAAGTCTTCTGGATTCTATCTTCTAGCTACTTAGTGGGATTATTTTCAGATTCATTAATAAGATATAGCTTAAGAAACTATAAGAGAATTATTAATTTAGCAGAGATTTAAGTGGGTTAAAAATTATAGATTTAGAGATAGATAAATCAAGAAATAAAAAAGAATAAATAGATTAAATAAGTTAGTTAGATCAGGCAGATTAAATAAATACTCTAGGTTTATACTATAATGATATATTTCTGTTTTTAAGCCAATCTCTGTTAAGGCAATGGCTCAGCGCTCAGGTTTATTAAAATAACAATAATAAGAATTCTTAATAACTAATGAATATTCTGAAAATACTATACAGATTTTATGGTAAGATTAAGGTATCTGTCAAACCCTAGGATCGCTTCTCTGTCCTGGTTAGCTTAGCTTCACTGGTATACGTACCGTCGAACTGGGTCGAGGAGGTATCAGGCCGATAACTATCCGAGGACAATTGGTCTTGGACGTGAGAAGAGAAGTAGGGCCAGATAGTGCCGCGCAGCTATCCGTAAGTAAGTGCGGACGAGTGTTCTATCGCTAAGCTTCCAAACGTATGGTTACTTAAAGACAGTGTTATTGAGCACGGAGAACAGAACTAGCTAAGTACATGAGAGAGTGTCCTTATATATCCTATCCTCCGTATACCATATCATATACCTTTCTGGGTAGATCGATGGTCGATCCAATCGTAGTCCAAGGTTCCAGTATACCCTAAGTATACCCTCAATGGTAGGCATGATGGTAGATGGTCACGTGATACGTGGCCGTTCTGGGCGTCGTAAGGGTAATCGGGAATTCTACTAAATAACAACTTGGCTTTGCCCGAGCGCTGCCCTTATCGGCGCTTTCTGCCTGGCGAGTCCGCCTTACTAGTAGATTAACTAGCAGGGGTCCGTAACAGTATCTTATTTATTAATAATATAGATTAACCGGGGGCGTCTACAGTCCTAATAATTATATATAAATTTAAAAATATCCTTTAATCTTTTTTTTAAGTCTATTAACTTTTAAATAGAATAGTAAAGATATATATTATTTATCGGTTGGAATTCAACTTTACCCTCTTAATTGAATTCTTATCTACTTATTTATAATTAATCGTTTCCATGAAAATCTAGATTAATCATATGCCCCATATATAAATATATAGAGTTTCTAATGTTGATAAAGCATATTAGACTTACTTCTTATGGATCTTAGTATTTTCTCTTTTATATATAATTCTTATATTATTCTGATTATATTATATAATAATTTCTCTATTTTCTAATTGAATTAATGATTTATAAAAGATTTATTTATTATAAATAGTGTATTAAAGATGAATAAAACCTTTTATTTCCTGCTCAATTATGTTCAAAATCTTTTAAACTAATTATCTAATTCATTTACTTTCTATCTAAGGATCTATTTCTTTTAATTTTAAGAATTGGATTGTTTCTCTTTAATAACTATAATAATTATATTCTTTATGTCTATTATTTTATCTTATATTATGATTATATTTAGTCTCCTATTTATGACTAGTATTATGTAATCTGATTATATAATTATTATATAATTATTATCTTATTATATTTTCTTTAACTGTAAAATTAAAGAAATTATCTTATTTTCTTATCAGGTCTAGTCCTACTAGACTACTTATTTATTTTAGTTTAGTATTCTTAGGCTGCTTGACAGTTAGAAGCCCGGCTTATTTTTACCTTAAAATTTTTGTTCAATAGGTTTTATTAGTTAAACATTATTGAAATAATATCAGAAATAAAAAAGCTTATTAATTAACTTATTACTTCCCGTGATTAGCCAATATAGATTAAAAGATTAGAATTCTTGCTGAAGTAAAACAAGTATAATAATATATTAACTCTAATTAATTAAGTTAATTAAATATATTAAAGTAACTAAACAGACTAAACTAAGTAAATATCTTAAATGATAATTTATCAGCTGACTAACGAGAAATCTATTATTAATTATACAAAAAATTATAAAATATCTCATCAGGTGATTTCTACTGGATTATTGATAATTGTTAGGGGCGATGTAGGAGACGTGATAAGTTCGATTGTATGCGCGAATACTAGCTGTCGTTCTGCTTTGAACTGATCGCTGGCCTCCCGCAGTGTTGGGGGGGCCAGCGAGGTGCGATATAGGAGCAAATCACATGACATCGCCTAATCCACGTGATCCGCGACCGTGTGTTACTCACATGACCCGCCGGGTCGCAGCAAACTGGCAGATCCACTCTAACAATAATATTATTATATATATATAATTTACTATCTTAATTTTATAAATGATTAATTTTAGATGAAAATAACATGTGAAAAATTTTCAAAATTTGGAAAAAATATTAATGTCTATTACAGAGGCAATAAAATATAAGTTAATTGAAAAATAACATTTATTTTATATACTATCTCATTTTAATCTTGAAATTTATATTCTATTATATAAATTTTTATATTCTAAATACAAACAGATACACATATTAGGGATTCAGTAATTATTATATATATGATATAATTTTATAGAATAAATTTAATTTTTTTACTAATATTCTAAATAATATAGATTAAGAAGTTACTTGGTTAAATAGAAATTTATTATTAATTCCTGTTTTTTTAAAGATAACTTATAGAAGCAGATGATTCGATAATCATCATCAACAAAAATTAAATGCAAATTCAACTTTTAGAAATTAATTTAAAATGATTTAATAAATTTAACTAATTATTTAAGGCTTATAATCAACTCAAACGTTCTTAATAATGATAAATAAAAAATAATTTCTAATTTCAATAATATCTATATATATATAAAATAAAATAATCGAAAGATTAGAAATCTGATTCAGAAATTATTATAAAATTTAGAAGAATCTATAAAGATAATCATTTTTAATATATATTTTGAAAAAGTAAAGAAAAGATTTATGAAAAATATTAGGAATTTCAATAAAAATTTAAAGAATTTATCTAATTTTATGATTTTATAAGTATCTTTATTAAAGTTAATTAGATTATTAATATAATTAGATCTTTGATACAGGATCTGATATATATATTAATAATATTTAATAATATTTTACTTGTCAAGGTACGGGTTGGCTGACTGGTTTGGTCACAGGCAAGATAGTAGGACTAGCAGTTCTAGCTGGAGGCTTCTTGATATAAGACTTTGAGATTCTATCTTCTAGCTATTTAATCAGACTATTCTCAGATTTATAAATAAAATATAACTTAGAAATTTATAACAGGATCAGAAACAGACAGAAGATTAAAAAGATTATAAATTATATATAAAATAGATAAAAAAGAAGAAATTAAATAGATTTCATAAATATTAAACAGATTAAGTAAGTACTCTACATTTATGTTATAGTAATATATTTTTTAGATTAAGTTCTGTTAAGACACTGGCCCGTGTGAGCGCCAATCAAATACTCATATTCGGAGCGTCTAAACTAAAATATCAAACATAGGAGGAAAAAGGAAAGGAGTATGGGAGGATATATATAAATAATAAAAATAAGTAAGTAAGATAAAATAAATAAAATAAATAAAATAAGATTATATATAATAAATAAAATAAGTAAAAACTAGATTATATATCTCAGTTATATTTTATTATTATATTATCTTTTTTTTTAAGACTGGCTGTCTTTAGTTAGAAATATATTATTATCTTTATAATCTAGCATGAACTTATCAGCCTCAGCAGCGACCAGCTACTATAACAGTTACTTAAGAAGTCCAGGACAGGTGGGATATTTAATATAATAATTTTATAAATAAAATAAAATATTCTTAAAATTTCTAGTTAGATATTATATATAATCTATTTTATTTAAAGCAAGCCATTTAATCCTGTATTATAAATAATTATAATATAATTAATTAACTAGTATCTCTTTAACTTTTTATTTTATTTAATTATTAACTTTAATAGGAACAGCAGTATCTTGAATTTAATTAAATAAAATTTCCAAGGAATTCTGTAAATATAATTTTTTAAAATAAAAAATTAAATACACTTGTATATTCTTAAGAAAATAAATCTTATATATATTATTTATTTTATTAATAATCAGAATTAATTTATACCAGCTATTAGAAAGTTTTTATAAAAATTAATTCTAGTACCAGTTTCTTATATTAATAAAGATTTTATTACTGATATTAAAATTTTCTAGATAATATTAATAATTTATTTACT